ATAATGCTCTGATTTGTATGAAATGGTGTCCATTTGTATCGCAACATGTACATATAACTCTTTACTTATGATATGCATGTAGTTTCCTGTATTATGAATATTGTAGTACCAGAGTTGTGTCACGTACCTGTATGTACATGAAAGACATGCATGTTTATATTTTTGCTTTTTTTTTAATGTGCGTAAAATAAATAATGTGCATGACAGTGATAGTTTTGCTTCATAACACCACCATACATGTAACATGTGATGAAAGTACATGTTACATGTATGGTGGTGTTACTTTGTTCTAATCAATTGTATTGCTATTGTCATGGATGTGTGGTACATTTAATGTACATTTGGTGTATCAATATCTTAATGTTTGTGACTTTACGTGTATTTTCATTTGAAAAGTTTAGAATTGCACATGCATTTAATGTCGATAATTTAATTTGATTCAACTTTTAATATTGAAACAATTTTTGCTGTTATTGCTATTGCACCTAATATTTATATTATTTACATGTATTTTTTTGTTAATTTTCCTCATGTATAATTTTTATGTGTTGATGCAGGTTCTGAAATCTTCGGAGTGGTGTTAAAGCTTCTGATATTCCCACGAAATACAAGGTATTACTTGTTCTAAAGTTATATTGCTGGTTATAAGTTGTTTTTTAGAATTACTTCAATGAGGACCTACCATGGCAGTCTTTAGGGTATGCTAGTATTGTGGAGATGTTGTTTGAGATAACAGATATTGCTGACTTAGAGAAACCAACAAAAGATGGAGAGTATCTTGTCTTTGCTAAAAAACAAGACACTGCTGGTAGGTTTTGTACATGTACATGTAGCATTTAAAATGGAGATTTATGTAATGGTTCTGTGAACTACATGTATTTTTGTTTTAAGCCTATTTTGTTTTCTGAATGTTAAAGGTGTTTACATTATTGAATTACATTTACACATACTTTACTGTATACATTATAGTACATGTATGTAAATTGGGCATGTAGAGTATGTTGTTACTACAATAGAATAATCAAAATTGTAATTATAGAAATAGTTGTGTCTCTTTTTTGCACATATAAATGTACAATCTACATTTAAAATTCAGTGTTTATTAATGTTTTTATTACAGGTATTTCTGCAGCAACTGCATTAATCAAAAAGCCCACATCCATTCCTGAAACATTGTCACTGCTAGTGTATAGAATTTTAGAAGGATCTCCACCTGTTCCTGTTCACCAGTTTCCAAAGTTTTTTGAGTTTCGTTAATGTGATAGTGTATGATCTAGCTTTAATTTATTATTAAAAATATTTGACAAATTTTTATCCTCTAATTTGCTTTGATACAATGTACATGTACATAAATTTGTGTAGATGATCTGGATTGTGCCTGTGTTATTTTTTGTTTGGCTGTTTAATTTAAATGATGCATTTATTCCTTATTGTGTTCATTTATTTAGAAAATAACTTCCAGAGAGCTCCCACTGATTGAGTACGGCTTCAGTACAGTTGAAGAGTTCCTAGCTTGCATACCAGAGATTAGTGTAATGAAGATGGAAGAAGGAGAAAG